GCCACCACTTGCCCCCTGCCCTGCCACCCTCCTTTTGGCTTCTTTTTTTGGGGCCTTTCCTGCCGCCCTGTCACAGGGGCCCTCCCTTCCTTTTTTGCTTTTACAGGTGGTGGGTACCTTTCCGGGGGTGGGCCTGACGCTGACGCCCTTTCAGGGGACATGTCCCCCCCCCCCCCCCACCCCCCCCCACACACGCACACACGCACGCACGCACGCACGCACGCACGCACGCACGCACGCACGCACGCACGCACGCACGCACGCACGCACCCACCCACACACACACACACACACACACACACACACACACACACACACACACACACACACACACACACACACACACACACACACACACACACACACACACACACACACACACACACACACACACACACACACACACACACACACACACCGATGCTCACCCACGCGCATTGTGCCTTGAACCGTATGCACGCGATGCGACGCTCCCCGTCCCATCACGCTCTCGCAGTCGGTCGTGCTTCGCAACATCGCCCACGCGGACCGCGAGAACCTCGAGAGCCTGCTCCGCTTCCACGGCGTCGAGACGGACGTCGCGCAAATCGACCCGATCACGCGCAAGTCGATCGCCTGCCCTGCGTTTCCGCTCTGCGGCCTGGCCATCACGGAGGCGGAGCGCGTGCAGCCGCAGATCAACGCGCGGCTGTGGGCGCTGCTCTGCGAGATGGGCCTCAGCAACACCGATTTTGTCACCCGCACCACCGGCTGCCCCAACGGGTGCGCGCGGCCCTACATGGCGGAGCTGGCCTTTGTTGGCTCCGGGCCAGACATGTACCAAGTGTGGGTGGGAGGCCACCCGGCGCAGAGCGAGCGCACGGCCGTGGAGGTGCCCAGTCTCTTCAAGATGAAGCTCGACGATCTCGAGGCGACGATGGAGCCGATCTTCGCGATGTACAAGACGCAGCGCCTCGCGGCGGACGAGGCGTTCGGCAACTTTTGCTACCGCGTCGGCGTGCCCGCCATCGAGGAGTACATCGCCAAGTACGAGCTTGGCAGCTGGAGGGCGATGGGAGACCCGTTCGGGCCCGAGGCGGTGGCGACGGACGCGACGGTGGGCATCACGAGCGACGTGCTCGCCAAGGTGGAGGAGGAGGCGAGCAAGCGCGGCTACGACGCGCCCACGCTCATCGACGCGCTCCTGCGCGAGGCTCTAGCCATCGAATGAGATGCGCTATTCCCCAACCGCGAGTGGAGAGCGAGCGTCCGCCGGAAAGGGCGAGGGCTGCTGCTTGGCAGCAGAGCCTAGTCGACACATCTAAGCGTAGATGTATTAGGAGAGGGAGTTGAGCGCATGTCGGTGAAGAATCTTCAGTGAAGTGCAGAGAGAGAGCTCTGTCGAAGGTCAGCGTCGTGGTATGGTATTCGAGGTCCTAGTGGGTGGGGACTCTGCCCTTGTCCCATCCTCTAGTTCTTCGGCATCTCTGTTGAGTTTGATTTCTTTTCTCACGACGGCGCCTAATGGCGAATGGGTCGCCGTCTGTGCTCTCTGCTCCTGCCTCCTCCTTATAGGTGCGTGCACGACACATGCACTTGCACACATGTGGACATAGGACATGTGCATGTGCATGGATGCATGCACACATGCACATGCACATGCACATGCACATGCACATGCACATGCACATGTGTCGGGCGGACTCCCTCACCCATATCCCATAAATAAATAAATAGAGCGGGCATCTCCAGAGAGATGGGCGACGCACGGACCTGGCACGGACAGAGAGGGACAGCGCGCACCCCGCCCCGCTCGCAGACAGGCAGGTCGGAGAGCGTGCACAGCTGCACACACAGGTGCACATAGGAAGGACTCCTCGGTCGGGATTTCTTGGTTGGACTCTTGAGTGTGCGGTCGCTCTCCGACGGCATGTCTGATGGGCATTTCGGGCGGGCTCGAGAGAGTGAGAGCCGCGGTGCAGAAAGAAAGAGGTTTAAAACACCCGGCGGAGGGAAGGGAGGATTTCGCGGAGAAGAAGAATAAAAGAAAACCAGGGCCGAGCTGCGGTGCATTTCCTGGCGCGCCACTCGCGTGTCTTTTCCTCATCGTGATGTCGGCCCACACCATTCGTCCGGCGACGCCTTCGGATGCCTCGAACGTCGGCGCGCTGTGGCACTCGGCGTACTACGACGACCCGGGCACGGCCAGCCTACCCGACGAGTTCCTCGCCGAGCGCAACCTCCGCGAGTTCACCCGGCGGGCGTCGGAGAAGGTGCCGCACATGTTTGTGGCGAGCGAGGCCGGCGCTGCGGCGGACGCGCCGCTGGCTGGCTTTTGTGTCGCCTACCGGGAGCGTGCGGAGATGGAGCAACTGTTTGTCGCGCGGCACGCCCGCGGCACTGGAGTCGCGGCGCGGCTGATTGCCGCAGCCGAGCGCTCGCTGGCCGCCTCGCCGACGGCGGTCACCGCCTTCCTGGTCGCTTTTGCCGCCAACGCACGCGGCCGGCGCTTCTACGAAAAGTGCGGCTGGGCCTGCGCCGGACCTGTGGTTTGGCCGGTCGAGATCTCAGGCGGCAATACCTACCCGCTGTCGCTGGTGCGGTACGAGAAGCGGGTTGGGGAGGCGTCGCCACAGGAGGGAGGTGGAGCTGCCGGTCCGGAAGTCCCGCCAGCTGCGACGCAGCGGCCAACCTCGCAGGCGCGGCCCGAGGACATGGAGGCGAGCACGCAGGCGTCGCGGTAGGCCGCCGCAGCTCTAGACAACCGCCAGGGCCCTCCCCACCGGCCCTGCGCCTCTGCGTAGTCGGTGGACGGCGACGGGCAGCTCGCTGGCTGGGCAGAGGCGGCCGGGGCAGTCGGCTCTAGATGCGGAATGCGCGCCCCTGCATGCCTGCTCGGCAAGACACACGTTCGGCTGCATTCCAGCGCATGCCCTTCCGGGTGGGCACTGCAGATTGTACTCACGAGGTGCTCTGTGTCCATGGCTTCAGGGCTGCAGCCGCTTCGACGCTCGGGCGGGCGTCTACGCTTGCAGCGTGGACGGCAACTACGTGGTGCGCGTCTCGAGCGGCGAGGCGGCGTCGGACGACTCCTTCCTCGTCCTCGAGCGCAGCCACGTGCGCGGCGGTAGGACGTGCAGCCACGTCGCCGGCGCCGGAAGCGGCTCGCTAATGCATCTGCGAGCCGGCGATACGATCCTGCTTCGGCTCGTGGGCACCGCCCCGCTGCCGGCGCGGCCACTCGCGGGGCCGGTGCGTTTGGCCATATCCCTCGCGATGCGGATGCGCTGCCGCGAGCCCGAAGGCTTGCTGGACGAGGGGGAGGGGGAGGGGGAGGGGGAGGGCGGCGGGAGGGGCGCCTCTCGCAAAGCCGACGCCAAGCGGAGGCGGGGGGGCGGAGCAGCATCGCCCTCTTCGGCGCCAGAGACGGGATCGGACACGGAGTGGTCCGAGGGCTTCTCGTCCGACGACGAAGCCACGCAGCGGGAGAGGCCGCCACCGAAGGTTCGCCGGCTTGCGCGCGCGGCTCGCGCGGTGTCTTTGGATGCCCCCTTGCAACGAGCTGGCCCGCCGATGGTTTTATAATACCAAACAGAGTTACAGCAAAAAACAACAATGAGCAAACAAATCTTTTTCGAAATTCGCGGGAAGCAGCGGTAAATTCTGGAGATGTGATGAGTTGATGATCTTTAGCTTTACTTTAGTTGACGCGAATTTGAGAAGCGGCTACGGGCTAGCGGGAACACACGCCGTGCGCGGGTGCGGCGTGTGCGAGACGAGGTCGTTAGTGGCACGCCTTGTGCCCAACAACGTCTCGGACAAGGACGACGTCTCGCGAAGCGACTGATTTGAAGCGCCATTGAATAATTGCGAGCGTTACACCTCGAGACACCAATGAAAGGAGGGCTCGCGGCGTCCCTCACTTTGGGTGGTTGAGTTGATTGAGCAAGCGCGTCTCGCAAGCTCCACGACAAGGTCTGAGTTGGGAGTGGCCCCATCGCCCTCCGCGCCCACCGTCCGCCATCCGCTAGCCTCTCTACTACTCCGTGGGAACGCGCAACATTGCGTACCACCCACCCATGCACGCTGCCGCAGCGCACACTGCGAACCGCCAAAGCGAGCGACATCACTCTGACGCATGTCCACCTCGCATTCTCGCAGTGTCGTCGCCAACCTTCACATAATCCGACATGAACAAGAAGCTCATCGCGCTCTTTGTGGCCTCCGCCGCCGCCTCCGACGGTATCCCCGTCAACTGCACTTCCGCCGAAGCACAGCAGTGTGGCGCGGAATGCACGCGGTGCGCCCCTTGTTTGGACCCGACATTCCTCTGCCCGTGGTCTTCCTGCGAAGAGGAGTGTACTTCCTGCCTCCCCTACCTGACCTGCTTGGACAACGACGGTTTCGAGGGTGGCATCGAACTCCGTACCTGCACTTCCGATGACTGCTCGTCCGGTTGCGAGACTCAGCTGACCGTCCCCACGGGAGAATGCGTCGCTGATTCCTCCTTCTCGGGTGCCACGGGAGGGGTCGGTGTCCCTGAACAGGGTTCGGTGATATTGACCTGTGACGGCGACACCGTCATCGCAACCTCATACACCACTTCAAACTGCTCCGACGTCGGGACCACGCTGCCAATGAATACGTTTCCGAAGTGCCTCTCCTTGCTCGACATTTTGGAGGGTCTGGGAGACGCTCTGGAAGGTCTGGGCCGCCGCCGCCGCCGCCTTGACGACATTGACGACCTCATGCTCGACGACCGGTTTTTGAGCGGGTCGACCGCGTTCGTCTGCAAGGCACCCGCCGCCACTGTGGTCACCTCCTTCACGCTTGCTGGCGCGGTGGAAGACTTTGGCGTGCATGAGCAAGCGGCGATCAAGGCGGTGCTCGCCGCGGGCGCAGGCGTCTTGCCGTCGGCGATCTCCCTCACGCTCTCGTCTCGTCTGGCTCCGTGGTTGTCACGGCGAAGATCCTCTTCAAGGTGTCGGCGGCCGCGGCCGCGGCGGTGATCGCGCTCTCGGGCGCAAACGGCATCCTCTCGGATGCGACGAAACTCCAAGAGGCTCTCGTCGAGCAGTTCGCAGAAGATGACATCGATACCGACGTCACGGTCTCTCGGCTCGAGCCGCCCGAGGTGGAGTCCGACGACGACGACGGCGGTGGCTGCGGCGCCGGCTGCATCGTCGGCATCGTCGTCGGCGTCTTGGCCCTCATTGCCCTGAGCGTGCTCCTCTTCCTGTGGCTTACGGGCGCCGCCTGCTTCAAGAAGGCGGATGGGGGGTACCCCGCCGGAAAGCCAGGGGTCGCCGGTGCCGGCGAGGCCGCCTAAGAGGGCATCCCCATGCCCAGGGGGAGCGTGTAAGTAGCCGCCACGAGCAAGCTCGGCCCAAGCAGTCGCGTGGCTCACGCGCGCCCCGCCACGTTGTGCAGTACACCAGTGCAGCATGTTGTTCACTGGCCCGGTGGCGATGCGAGCTGATGCGGGCGTTGTGGACGATATCCGCCCGTATCAATCGTGCACCCCACCGAATAGTAGGCCGGATGCGTTCCCCATACGCGAATTGTGAAAACGAACCCCGGGGAGGCGGAGGGGAGACCTCGTCCAACGTTCCAGCATATCCAGAGGCCGTACCTCCACGCTCTCGCTCGCTCGTGGACCCAATCACGACCGAGGTCATGAGCGACCCGTTGACGCATGGCGCGGCGGATGGGCATGCTTACGAGAGAGCGGACGGCGATTGAGGTTTGAGCGCTGGCTCGCGACCAACTTTTTCGACCAGCCCACCAGCCCTCTTACGGGCGGCGGGCTGGAGCACAGCATCCTGGTCCCCAATCACATATGCTGCGCCGGGGGACGAGATCCGGGACTGCAGGGGGGGTGTACTGCGCCGGATGATCCGGGACAGGACACTCTGCTCTCTGTGTCGAGGCACGATCGACATCGAGGGACGAGGGTCGAGGCTCGCCACGAGGCGTCGAGCTCGGGGGGGGGGGGGGGGGGCTCGAGGGGGGCGCGGACCAAAACGAGCTGAGAAAAAACCGGCACAGCGTGTGCTCCCCACGGCCACGCTGGGAGGGACAGTTTTTAGTGTACGAGACGGCAAACGAAGGAGCGGGCGAGGAGCGAGGTTGCGTACGATATTCTTTCACACCACACAAACCACGCGCAGAGGATCACGCGCGCTGAGAAGGCGTTTGCTGGCTGCTCGCGCGGACTGCAGTGACCGGCGGTGACTGCGGGACCGGCGAGAGCAGCGGCACAACGCCGACGCAAGATACTAGGTGAGAGACCCGAAGGGCCCACAAAGCGGTGTACACTCGTGCTGCTACCACGGCATGGGGAATTTGCTGCAAGGGGGACGGTCGAGCGCTGGTGTCGGCGGTCGGCGCCTCACGCAGCTGGCCGCCGCCGCCGCCACGAGACGCTCCCAGAGGAGTCGCTCTACAGCCGCTTGCCCGCATCGTACCACGACGTCACCTTGCCCTCGACGGGCCACACCACCTCCTTGCCCGCCTCTGCCGGCTTCTCGCCCGACGCGGCGCTCTCCTCGCCCTCGCCGCCGCCCGCCGCCGCGACCGCAGCGCCCACGGCGACCGCCGCGCCGGCGGCGAGAGCCGGAGCAGGCATGCCGGACGCGGGCGCGGACGCGAGCGCCGATGCGGGCACGGGCGGCGGCGGCGGCGACTGCTGCTGCTGCTGCTGCGGCGGCGGCGGCGGGAGGATGTCTGGCATCGCGACCGAGGCGGCGACGTCCTCCTTGGCGGCCTTCTCGGCCTCGACTGCCTTCTCGAGCGTCTCCGCCTTTGCGGTGGCGGCCGCGAGCGCCTTCTGGGCCGCGGCCTTCTCCTCCTCCACCGCCGCCGCCGCCGCCTTCGCCGCCGAGGCCTCCGCCGCCGCCTTTGCCGCCGCCGCCTGGCGGGACCGCGCCTCCGCCTCAAACACGCGCTTCGAACTCTGCTGCACGAGCGTTGCGCTGGTCGGCGCGCCGCCCTCCGGCGGCGCGATGATGGTGCCGAGGAAAATGGTCGCGGCAGCCACGGCGACAGGCACCACACCAATCGTCGCCGCATTCTTCCTGCTCGCCACCATCCGCGCGGCCGCCTCGGCTCTCTCACGCGCCTCGCGCTCCTCGCGCTCGCGGCGCGTGGCCACGCCGATCTGGCGCAGGACGACCAGCCCCGCGCCCAGGCCCGACGCGGCGGGCAGGAGCGCACGGAGAGGCGCGGGAGCCGGCAGCGGCTGCGGGAAGCCCTCGATCGTCTGGTTGTAGCTCTGGAGGACCTCCTTCGCCTGGAGCGCGGCAAGCTCGGGCGCGGAGAGGTCGGCGGAGGCCTCGGCGACGACGGGCGGGGAGCGGAGGAGGGCCATCCTTCTGCCGTGGGAAGGACGCGACGGCAGGAGGGCCAGAGTGATCGCTGGAATGAGCATCATTGGCAGGGAAATAAAAAATAAATCGTTGAATTCCATCAAAGTTGAGGCCCCTCCTCAACCATCTGGTTGACAGTTGAGACCCCCCGTCAACCCTTTAGTTGGTTGGGGGGTTGAGGCCTCCGTCCGGGGCCTATTCACAGACCTTGTTATTGAGAAGAAAATATGTCCCATGGCGCTTTGCGCTGGTCTATGAGAGGTTGAGGTGCGAGCCCTGGAGGCCCTGGGGATGGGGGGAGACTACCCGCGGGCCTAGAAGGCCCGCGCGCAGGGGGGTAGGGCATTGAGATTGAAGCATGAAGGCGGAGGTGGAGGCGGCGGAGGCTCGGCGAGCACGGCTGGGAGCGGCAGAGGATTCAGAAAGGAAGGGACCCTGGGACCGGAGTCGGGCGGGCGCACATGAGGCGTGTCCGTGTACGTGCGTGGAGTACAGTGTTGTGTGTCCGTTAGCTCCGAGTAGAGGGGGCGTTCTGCAGTTAAGGGGAAACCCGGTACACGGAACTAACCCTCGGAGACCCGTGTTTACCTTAAGGCCCTTGCCCTGCGAATGCGCACCCCCCCTAGCTAGGGGTCAGGGCTCTCTAGCCCGTAGCCCGATCCCGATCATCCGGCCCGCTGGGTGCGCTTCTAAGCTCCCCGGCCCTGGATGTGAGGCTGCCGACTGCACTCCAAGTGCTCCAAGGTGCAAGCACTGATCTGAGAAGAGGGGTGGCTTTGGTTGGTCACGGAGTGGTAAAGTGCAACTTTGGCATTTGGTAAAAGCTGCCCGAGTGGTGTCTGTGGGAAAAAAACCAAAGCGGAAGGGTGGCCCCAACAGCTAAAGGCCAACATCCCCTCCGGCTACGACAATGTGAACCTGATCTGGTCCTCACGGGGTTGACCCGTCTCCTCCAGATCGAGACGGACTTCATGAACGGCCGAGCAATATTTCTTCATTATTATTATTAATTAATGCTTTTTGCACGGCTGAGCCCCCCCCCCCCCCTCCCCCGCGCCCATTCCCTGCCCTCTCCCGCCGCGCGCTCCGTCCGAGCCCCCTCCCCTCTTGCACAACAGGAATTTTGACAATTAATCACATGGGCGTGCCCATCCGCATCCCGGAGTGGTTCGACCCCACGCAAACCCGGAGGGGTGATGGGATGCTGTCTTGGCGGTCTCAGGCCCAGTGAGGTAGTGCGCTAGACTATCCATCCTGCTGAACAAGCTCCTCTTGTAGTGAAAGACCAATATCTTGGAGGATCTGACCAGTCTCAAGGCTCATGTAGCTCCAAAAGATGATTTTCCCCTCGAAAATGCTGCGAAATGAGGCGTAAAATCAAGGGCCCGGAGGGTCTGACCACGAGTCTCTGGGGGGGTCCTCGGCCACGACCCCCCCCCTAGCATGTGGTGAAGGTGCTGGGGGGGGCGGGACCCCCCCCTCAGCATGTGGTGAAGCCCCTCTGGGGGGGGTCGGACCCCCCCCCCTAGCATGTAAGGAGATGGCCGCCGTGCAGCTCGAGCTCGACAAGAAGAAGGACGAGTTCCTCTCGAGGATGCGGCGGTGCACGGAGAGGGAGGAGGAGCTGGCGGAGCGGCAGGACGCCATCAAGGAGCAGGTGCGCAAGTTCGACAAATTCCTGAAGGAGAACGACGCCAAGCGTGCGCGCGCCCTCCGGAAGGCCGGCGAGGAGGCCAAGATTCGCGAGGCGCGTGAGGCCGAGAGGGTGGCGCTCGAGGCGGAGCTGCTCAGGCAGCGCGCAGCGCAGGGGGAGATTGAGGCGGCGCTGAGGAACCTGGAGCGGCCCGAGCAGTTCCTCGCCAGAGCGTGCGAGCACTCGGACTACTTTGAGGACATCGAGGCCATCCTGAGGGTGCGTGAGCCCTGCGGCGCCGGAGGCTAGCGGCTGCCCACCTTCAGAGCCGCTGGGCGCTCACTCCACGCACAGCCCTCTCGTCGCAGCGGCACGAGGTCCTCGAGGCGACGCACGCCGATCTTCTCGCTCGCGTCAAGACCTCCGAGGAGCAGACGCTGCAGCGGCGCGAGGAGCTGCACGAGACGCGAAAACGCACGCAGACCGAGGCGCTGGTCAACGCGTCGAGGATCGCAGCACACCAGGTCATACACATTCCCCTCTCCACCCCGCAAGTAGCAGGTCGACCAAAAAGCTGGCACCGATCACTCGTGCGTGAGACTCAACCGAGTGCACACCGCTTCGTGAAGCCACGCACGCCCTCTGAGCGGGATCCTCCTGACTCCTCCGCCAGGCGCGGCTCGACGAGTTGAGGCTCGGGGCGCAGGACGAGGAGGCGTCCCTCGCCTCAATGGAGAGCGGCGCAAAAGACCGGCTGCGCGTCTTGGGCGAGGTGGCTGCAGCGCACTGCTGCCCGAGGCCCGACCGTATCTCGGCTGGTGTGTACACTCAGGCGGCACAACGGTTTGTGCGTGTCTGTCTATAGGTGACCATGGCGATCCACAACCTCCATGCGCGCGCGTTCGAGAAAGACGGGTGGCGCGCCGGCGGCGCCGGCAGGCCACCGGACGGGGAGGGCGAGCTGCTGCCTGAGCTGCTCTCCTCCGTCGGGCAGCGCGTGGGCGATCTTCTCGATATTGTGGCGACGCTCCGGCACGAGTCGCTGTCCACAGCCGGTGCTAGCAACGCCTGAGCAATGACCGTGTTTTGACGAGAAAAGCGTAAGCAAAAGCTGCTTACCCACACACATTACGGGCTCTCATAAGCCAAACAGCCAGCTCGCCATCCGTCCAAGTATCTTGCGGCCGTAGGGGATAAACGAGAGGCCGTACCAGAGCATCGCGAGGAACTGGACGCAGATGCAGCAGACGACGAGCGAGGGCCTATGGTCTCAGCCACACTCCGCCTCAGCGCACCCTAGTGTCCCCGCCGCGCCGCCCGTGGCCGCCGCTTCGAGCGCATGCGCAACACGAGGGCCGAGACGAGAGTCGCGACGATGGCGCCTGATCCGGGGCGGGAGGTGGCGGAGGGGGGTGAGAGACGCGTGTGCGGTCCGCCGGCGTCTGGAGGCGGCTCTCGCGGCGCGGCGTGACTGGAGCGCGCACCGAGGTAGACGGTGGTGGCGTAGAAGCGCTGCGGCTCGAGCATCGACTTGATCTGCGCCTGCAGCGGAGAGGAGGAGCGAGGGCGCGGTGGTGGGAAGCTGTGGGTGCGTGGGCGCGGGAGGGAGGCGGCGAGGGGCGAGGGGCGCCTGCGGGCCCATGAGGAAGGCGGTCGAGCAGATGGCGAGCAGGTTGCCCAGCGAGTAGCGCAGCGCGAAGGGCGCAGGGTTGCCGTGGATCAGCGCCTGTGTCGGGTAAGGAGAGGCCTCGAGCGCGCGGCGTGTGGGCGTGGGTGGGCGGGAGCCGCGCGCGCCGTGTATGAGAAGAGGGAGGTGATGGTGAGCGCGTACCTGCGTGGCGAGGGCGGGGCGGGCCCGCAACCCTTGCGGTGAGAGGAAGAGCGCTCGCGGACATCTACACATCTACACACCATCTACAGCACGTCTGTGGCATGGCTGCCGGTCCTCGTCCGATCCGCAGGCCGCGGGCACCGTCTACTGGCGGGGCGGCGCTCGCCCAATTACGAGGCACGCCAGGAAGCCCAGCACTCGGTCCTCCCAAGAGAGAGCCGGGCAGTAGCGGACGTAGAACGGGTCTGGCTTGGCCGGCGCGCCGAGCAGCCGGTCGAATATGCTGCCGCCGCCTTTGCTGCTGCCGCCGCTGTCGCCGCCGCCGCCGGTCGTGAGCAGGCCGCCGCGGCTGGCGTACCAGCGCTTTGCATGGGCCGACACGCCGAGGAGGCCGCCTCCCGCACTGGCGCTGTCCGGCGACGGGGCTGAGGCAGGAGGCGGCAGCGCGAGCGGACCGCTGCTCTTGCCGTAGCGCGGCATCGGCCGCATCGGCTGCATCGCATCGCTCGGCGCGGGAGCAGCTGCCGCATCGGCGTCGGAAGGATCGGCGTCGGAAGGACTCACCGACGCCATTATACACACACTAGCAGGCTGGCTCGCTAGTCGCTCGCCGGGCCGCGCTTTTGCGTTGCGGCGCGCGTTTCTTTTCTTTGGCTGTCCTCCTTTAAAGTTTTGACCCCCCGCTAAACGCGCGAGGCGGTGGCGGCGGTGGTGCGGGGGATTGACAGGGGAGGCGGCGGGATTGACAGGGGATGGGGCGGCCACGAGCGGAGCGGCGGCGAGAGGGGGGGCGGCGGCGAGGCGCCAACGAGCGAGGAGCCCGCGCCATCAGAGGGACGCGCCGCTGCGAGATGGAGGGCGGCGGTGACGGAGGCAAGGCGCGAGGAGGAGGCGGCGGCGGCGGCGGCGGCGGCGGCGGCGGCGGCGGCGGCGGCGGCGAGAACGGCGGCACCGAGTTGTCTCGGTGAACGGAGCCATCGCCGTCGGGGAGAGGGGGGACGACACTGCTTCGGCAGCGTGCACCTCGATCCTGTACCGTGTTTGTTATGACCCCCCCCAATGAACACACCAGTGAGGGAGGGCGAGACGATCGAGGGGTCCCGTACCATGCGGAATCGACCCTATCCGGTGCTCAAGTGCTCAAGTGAACGGAGCGGCGGCAGGAGGAGGAGCAGCTCGCTGTTGAGCGCTTTGGAGCCTGGGACCCCATGCCACTGCGACCGGCGTGCCCGGGAACAGAGATCGCGCGCGCGCCGCCACTCACGACGCGCGCGCGATCTTCGCGGAGTCGGGTCCCCAGAGGGAAGCGGTCTTCTCGGCCGACGTCCAGCGGCGCGCAAGGAAGCAGGCGCAGCGGTGCACCGCGCCGCGTTGATTCGCGACCACCGTCGGCCGCGGACGGCGGCGGCGTGCAGATCGCAGTCAGCAGTCCTCCTCCGGGAATGTACGAATTTAAGTTTTTTTGTTTTTCTCGTTAGTAAATCCGGCAAATCCAAGTAAACCCGGCAAATCCCGCCGCCTATTACTGATATCTGAGAGAGTGGCTTGTAAACGCATATATGCAGCCCGCGAGGCAGGTTGCGTCGCGCGGGTTCGCACAGCTGCAGGCCATCGGCCATGTTCCCACCCGAATGCCTCGGCATTGTGAACCGCAGCATCCCCGGCGTCACGTACGACACCATCGTGGCGGGGCCCCTCATTCCCCGTTTCTTTCCCCCCTGGCGTGCTCCCATTCCTCATTGTACTTGGAGCACTTGCTTGGAGTGCAGTCATCAGCCTCACATCCAGGGCCGGGGAGCTGAGAAGCGCACCCAGCGAGCCGGGTGATCGGGATCGGGCTACGGGCTAGAGAGCCCTGACCCCTAGCTAGGGGGGTGCGCGTTCGCAGGGAGAGGGCCGTAAAGCAAACACAGGTCTCCGAGGGTTGGCTCCGTGTACCGGGTTTCCCCTTAACTTCAGAACGCCCCCTCTACTCGGTGGGAGCTAGTAGACACGACACTGTACCCCACGCACGTACACAGGTCCTCACTCAGCATCCCGTATCAGGGTTCCACCGCCCGCCGAAAAAGAAAGAAAACAGACAACCCAAGGGAGGGATGGGAGGACGGCACGCCGCCACCACACAGGGATTTTAAGGAGAGGGTGTGGTGCGCTAGCCATCGCCCACCCTTGGGCGTCCGCCTCTTCCTATCTCACTTCGCAGTCTCTCTCCGATTCTCGCTGCAACCTTCGTGCCACCTCGCGGTCTCCCCCTTCTCGTCGTGCTCTCCCTTGTCGCCTCTTCCTCTGTCGCGTCGCTCTCCTCTGCCTCGTTCTGCGCCGCCGCCGCCGCCTGCCGTTCCCTTGTCCTCTCGGCTTCTTTTGCCTTTCGGCGCAACTCCGTCCTCCTCGCTGCGTATCCTGGCCCCTCGAGTCTATCGAGCTCCCCTCGCGCAAGGACGAGTCTTCTGATGCCCACTGCTATCATTTGCCGCCCAGTCATGTGGTTGCTCAGGTCCACTCTCTCTTCGAACACTTGTGCGTCTACGGATGATGCCGGCGCTGGAGTCCCCTTCGGGTGCATCGTGACATCTGACAACTGGATTTCCACTGGTTCGTCCTCCTCGGAGACGGAGTCGTCTTCCCCCGCTGCCTTCCGCTCAGCTCTACGTTCGGTACGTTCGGCGTGGCTCACCCTCCATGCCGTGAACAGGCGCTTTATCCACCCTATATTCTCCACCGCCCGCCCTCCCCCGCAACTCTAAATTCTTTTGGCAGCGCTTCCGCACGGCTCCTCCATTTTGTCGTCGGCCAGCTGAAAACAGGCGACCCAGAGACGATGCCTGCTGGCGGCTGCCTGTTCGTGATCGTCGGCACCGACGACAAGCCGATCTACCAAGCCGAGTTCCCCGAGGCGCGGTCGCAGCGGGTGCGCAGGCGCCGGAGCGGAGGCTCCGCCACCCAGTCGTGCTGAGCGCGGCTGCCGCCCTCCCGCCTCCCATGCGCGCAGCGCGAGGACACGCTGCACCTGAATCAGCTCACCGTGATCCACGCGGCGCTAGACATGGTCGACGAGCTCGTCTGGGGCACGCAGGCCATGTACCTCAAGCAGGTTGACCGGTTCAATGACTTTTACGTTTCTGCATTCGTGACTGCGAGCCATGCGCGCTTCATGCTGCTGCACGACGCGAGGAACGAGGACGGCGTGAAGCAGTTCTTCACCGACGCGTACGAGGCGTACGTTCGCCTGCTCATGAACCCGTTCTTCGACAGCGGCGCAAAGGTTCCGGCGAGCTTTGACCAGCGAATACGTCTGCTTGGGAAGAAACACTTCTGAGCCACAGTGTCTCCGATCGCGGCCACAAAAGAAATCCATCCGCACCTCTTGAAGTTTTTTCCAAACAATCCCCGCCCCGCCCGCCGCCGCGGCGCCGGCCGGGCGTTCCGCTTCACCCCCGCCCGGCTGCCGGCTTCACCACCCACCCCCGCGCACATTCTCGGTGGGCACGGTGCACAGTGTGCACAGCGACGCCACAGTCGGGCGGCGCGCGGGCTCGGGGCGTGGGCTCTATCGTCTATGTGCCCCCGCGCTGTTTCGCGCTGAGCACACTTCTGAGCACAAAGCAACCGCTCTGTCGCACGCGTTTTCGACCACCTTCCCGGCACCGCGCGAATGCACCACCTCCGGAGGCCACCGGCGCGAGAGCAGCCCTGCCCCTCAGCAGCGCTCGATGGAGACGAGTGGAGGGATCGGCGACGGCCCCGCGGCGGGCGCCTCAGAGGGGCCTGCTGCCTCGTCGGAACCGGCGGCAGGCGGGTCGTTTGGCGGGTCGGCCGGCTTGGGAGCGCCGGCCGCACGCGAGGCGAAGAGGCGGCGGCTGCGCGAGGACGGCGTAGGAGGGGAAAGGCCGCCGTCGGCGGCGGTGGCGCATGGCCCGGTGGTGGTGGGCGTGAAGAGCCGCTCATTGAGGCTGTCGAGGAAGGAGGCGAGGGCGGCACCTACACTCGGGCCACGTCTCGGGCTCCTCCCGCTCCCTCTCGGGGGGGGGGGGGGGGGAGCTGCGAGGGCGCTCGAGGGCGGCGCGCCGTCGGGGACGCTGGACTGCAGCCGCTGCAGCGAGGGGTCGTCTAGCCGCAGCGCGCGCCTACGGGTCGGCCGACGGGTGGGGCCCGCAAGATCCAGAGAAGGCGGTTGCACTACATGGGTTGGCGTGCAGACCACTGATCAACCATGCGCTACATGGGTTGCTCAGTGGTCTGGGCGCCAACCCATGTGCTGCAACAAAGGCTCTGCCAACGACGGAGCCGCGATCGCGCCTGCGCTGGTCGACCGCCTCGGCCGCCTCGTCCACGGCCGCCGCTCGCTCGAGCAGCCGCTCCTGCTCGCAGCGAGACCGCAGGCGGGGCGGGGGTGGTGGGGGTGGTGGGGGTGGTGGGGGTGGTGGGGGGGGGGTGGGGGGGGGGGCAGAGTGGCGCGGCCGAAGTGGGGGGTGGGGGGGGTGGGGGGGGGGGCCGGGTGGGAATTGTGCACCCTCTGCTCGCGCAGCAGCCGCCGCTCCTCCGAGAGCGCCTCCCTAGCCGCTGCCTTTGCCGACGGCGGCGTCGCTGCGCCGGAGCGCCGGTTGGGAGAGATGTCGCGCAGAGGCCGCAGCGGCGAGGGCAGCCGCGAGTCGAGCGCCATCTGTGGGGGCGAGTACCAGAGGGTGTGTCGCGGGTGTGTCGCGGAGGCGTCGAGATGTGTCTCACAGCGGTGCCGCGGAAGCGTCACGGCTGCGCGTCCGGTGTGTGTGTGTGTGTGTGTGTGTGTGTGTGTGTGTGTGTGTGTGTGTGTGTGTGTGTGTGTGTGTGTGTGTGTATGTGTGTGTGTGTGTGTGTCGCCTGCAGCAGCTGGTCTTGCTCGCGTAGCTGTCGGCGGCACTCCTCGAGGTCGGCGGCGGCGTCGGCGGCCGCGGGCGGGGCGTCGCCTCGGCCCAGGTTGACAACCAACGAGACACGCGGCAGGGAAGCCTGCTCCGCAGCCGCAACCGGGTGGGTGGGTGGAACGGGTGGGGTGGGCGGAAGGACGGGTGGGTGGAAGGACGGCGGAGCGAGCCGGGGCGAGTTTGGGGATCGGGAGAGCGGGAGAGCGGGGGCGGGAGAGAAGAAAGGGTGTGTGTGCTGGGTGGGTGGGTCCGGTGCCCGCGCCTTTGCGGTCTCGCGAGCCGCGTCGAGCCACGCCGTCGCCGCGGCCGCCTCTGCCGTGAGATTGGGCGGCGCAGACTCCTCGCTCGCCCTCTGCTGCAGCTCGCGTATCGCGGCCTGCAGACTGGAGATGAGGCTCGCCTGCTCGGCCGCGGCCGCCGCCTGCACCACGCAGAGCGCGTCTCGGGACAATGGCGCTCCCACCTCGCGTTCTCTCTCTCTCTATGTGTGCGTGTGCGTGTGCGTGTGCGTGTGCGTGTGCGTGTGCGTGTGCGTGTGCGTGTGCGTGTGCGTGTGCGTGTGCGTGTGCGTGTGCGTGTGCGTGTGCGTGCGAGCGTGCGAGCGCGGCGCGCGCACGTGCTGCCACCCACCTGCCTCTGCCCGTCCGCAGCCGCCGCGGCCTCCCGCTTGCGCGCCGCCTGAAGCGCAGAGACAAGAAGAGCGAGGCTCCCTCCTCCGGCCTACAGCGCGAGCAATACTGCGTCGGCGGTTTGCGCCACCGAGGTGAGCCATCCGCTCGGCCGTCCAGCGGCGCCCGGGGTCGCGCGGGGGCGCCCTTGACGGCGGGCGTGGCGAGGACCGGAGCCTCAATGAGCTGGGCCTTTGCACCGCCGCGGAGTTTGTCCGCGAGACGCGCCTGCATCCGCTCAATCTCGCGCTCGCGTCTGCGCAGCGTCGCTTCGCGCTGCGCCTCGCGGTGCATGGCTCCCGAGAGCGCCTTGCTGCGCCGGTCCAGCTCCGCCTCCTGCCGGGAGACCTGCGCCTCGAGCGAGTCAATCCGTGCGCGAGAGGCGTGCACAGCCTTGTCGAGACGGTCCGCCGCGGCGTACTGGCGCGCAGCGCTCAACTCCGCCGCCGAAGCCGCTGCCTGCGCACTTTTGCACGCGGTGACGAGCGCGCCAAAGGACGCCACCAGGTGCTCTGCGTCACGAGCTCCGGCGAAGGAGAGAGCGGGCTCGAAGCCGAGGACGCCGGCTGCCGCCGCGTTCAGCGCGGCTACGGCCTGTTCGATGGAGGCCATGGCACGTCTGAGAGCTCAGCGAGAGGTGGGGGGTCGGAGGGTCCAGGCTCGAGGCTCGGATCGATCGGAGAGCAGTTTGAACTGGGGAGCAGAAGCACACCCACTTGTGGGACTCCCCGGCGGTCGGTGGTCTGCCCCCGAGGTGGACCGGACCCCCCCGCCGGTCGGTCGCTCTCTCGGCGGCGGGAGGTGTGACGACCGACCCCCCCTCGGCGCGGTGTCCTTGCCGTTGAGCCCCCTCAATCAAACGCTCTCCTTCCTTCTCCCGAACCGCCACGGGCGCTTCGAAATCGCCGGTTTTCACTAACACTATGAAAACTATCTAGTTACGCAGCCAAGCGCCAAGCGCCAAGGAGACTTCTTCGCCGAGGCCCGAGCGAGCCCGACTCCACACACATATGTGGAGCATCCACGCAGTCGCAGGCCTGACTGATCCTGCTTGCCGTCGCTTTGTACAAGCTCTGGCAGCGCTCCAGTTCTCCACAGTACGCGCGCGCATCGTCCCTTCCAATGACTACGATGACTTGCCAGAGAGACTTGATCGACACATCGCCGCCGCCGTCACCTGGGCTCATCGGCTTCCGAGTCGCTCTTCAAGCGACAGCAAATGGCAATCGATCCGGGTGCTGGATGCCGCTTCATGAGCAACTCAGTTAGAGATATTCCTACTAATAGAGATACTAATTTATTCACAGCTGCGGCGAGCATGTGCGGTGTGACCCTCGAGCCAACCCGACCGACCGACCCCCCCCTCGGTCTGCGCTCCGACCGACCGACCGGACCCCCCCTCCGGTCTGCGGACTTCCGCGGCCGCCGACCGGCCGGACCCCCCCCTGCGGTCGGTCGGTCTGCGCTGGGCGCTCAAACCGCGAAGTCGGCCTGTTCACTACAAGATAGGTAGGTAGGTAGAAAGGTGAAGAACAGCCAGGCTCGGACTGGACACCAACGCGGTATGGGTGGACGCTAGACAGATGATGACGACACGCACGAGCGACACACAGACACAAACAAGCTCACAAGACACACAGCCAGCTGGCTGCCACACACCCTGAGTCGGCGTACACATAACTCAAGGCCACATCCTCCCTGTCGCCCCCCCCAGCACTCCAAGGTGCCAAGAGAAACAAACAAGGGCACAACAAACAACAGACGATAGGAAGTGACATGTGAGGCTAGAGCAGCATGCTCCACCTCTAGCAATCTCTCCGGCCGGCGAGGCACGGACGAGACCGTGTGTGGGGTCTAAGTGAGGTGTCTATGGACGCTCTCCTCACGGGCTAGCTGCCTACGGCTAGCCCTATCTCGCACTCACGGGCAGTGACAATCAAATGGGTGAGTGTTTGCGAGCAGAGGCGCGTGGGCTAAATCTAGGCCGCACGTCGTGGCACTATGACGAAGTTAGACGTGCGGCCGCAGCGCGCCCGCCCCAGGCTCGGCGGTGCGCGCGTGTTAGCGAGAAAGTTGCGGGTAGAGCCGTTCCCGGCTTGTCGAATGCGAGGCCTCTGCGACGAGTGCCAGTCGTGCTGCGGAGCAACGCTCATATGAGACACTACAAAAAGAATCCGGACTGCGCGCATCCGCAAAGGCCTGGACGCGTCCATACAGCAGCCCGGGCGCACAGGCATGGGTTTCACCAAGTACCCAAAGATACCCCTCTCGACCAAGGACATGCCAGACCTCCCCGCCGGCGCCGAGTGGATCGTGACGGAGAAGCTGCATGGCGCCAACTTTTCGGTCGCGTGCGACGCGGATGGAAAAGTCGAGTTTGCAAAGCGGTCGGGGCCGCTGCCTCTCGAGGAGGACTTCTACTCGTTCAGGTCGCAACGCCTCGATAGGCGGCTGCAAGAGCCGGCGCGGCGGGTCCGTGCGCTAGCCGTGCGGTGCGGTCTGGCCGCGTCCGGCGACAGCGTCTGTGTCTTCGGCGAACTGGTGGGTGGCCACTATCCGCACCCCGATGTGAATCCCGTTCCTGGGCTGCAGCCGGTCCAGCGAGGCGTATGGTACAGCCCCGACCTGCGCTTCATCGGCTTTGACCTGGCAGTCACCCCGCACCATCAGCCACCGCGCTATACCGACTTTGACGCCGCCGCGAGCTGCTGCGAGGCGGCAGGGTTCCTGTTCGCCGCGGTGCTGGCTCGAGGGACGCTGCCGCACTGCCTCGAGTCGCCGATTCGCTTCTCCTCGCGCCTCCCCGCCAGGCTTGGCCTGCCCTCATTGGAGGATGACAACCTGGCAGAGGGCGTCGTGGTCAGGACCGCCCGCGAGGGGCTGCCGCTGCGGACGCTCTTGAAGCGCAAGATCGACGAGTTTGGTGAGACGCGCTACTCGAGCCCAAACTGGGCGGCGGCCAAGTCGGGAGGGGCGCGGGCGGCGAGCGGGCCGCACGACCTGCTTCGGTACGAGGCAATGGCCCGTGTGACTGAGTCCCGGTTCGAGGCGGTGGAGTCCAAGACGGGACGGCTCGACGCGGCCGACAAAGTGGCATGCCGCAAGGTGCTCGAGGACTTGAAGGAGGACGTGCGCCTCGCGCTGGTGGAGGACGGTGTCGCGTCGTCAGAGGCGGCGCTCGCCGAGGCGCTGAGCCAGGAGCTCTGTGACGAGCTGGACCGCGCTTGCCGAGGGCTGATTGGGAGCGTGGTGGGGAGAAGGGCGCGGCAGGAGCGGTCGGCGCGAGGGGTGGGTGGGTAGCGTGGGTGGGTGGGTAGCGCCGGGCTAGCGAGACACACATTTCTGGCGCTCAATTCGATGCCTAGCAAGGCTGTGGGTTGCCGAGAAGGAGCGGCGGACCCTGCTAACGATGCAGTCATCGTCGTGATCGGAGTCCACTGTCCATTCAAACTCCACCTTTGGCGGCTCGGGCTGCGGCTCTGCGAGCTGCTTGCCGGGCAGGCTTGAGAAGCGGCGGTGAGTGGCTTCAGTGGCAATTTGCAAAGAGGAGCGGGAGGTTAGTCCTAAGAGTGCATCCGCACTCACAGCCCCAAGTGCAACAGCAAGGAACGGAGACATGTGCAAGCGGTTAGTCGTAGTCGTGGGAGGAGTCGATGGGAGGGAGGGACGCCCTCAAGTCAACGCAATCGGTGTCGTCCGCTCCCCGCATCGTCCCCACAAAACCTCTCTCAGAAGATCTAAAGTCCCCTGCTGAGCGAAACTCTGGCGTAAATTAACTGTAAAATTCTTCTTTCGCGGTTGTGCATCCCGACATCGATGCAAGTCCAACCGACCAGCCTTGATTTCTGCTCGCTCTGCCGCTGATATGCCACTTTCCACCGCGTCCAGTCTGCCCGGCAGCTCGCTTGCTTCGAGCCTACCCGGCAGCAGCTCGCTTGCGCCGCAGCCCGAACCACAGAAGGCAGAGTTTGAGTGGACCGAGGACTCCATCGACGACGATGAGTGTGTCGTCATCAGGATCCGCCGCTCCTCCTCGGCAGCACAATCGATGGTGTCGGCCGCCTCGTTTGGCCACAGCTCTTTGGCGCACCGCTGACGCATTCGAGCTCCCTCGCATGGCTTGCCACGCATGGCTGAAGCTCCGGCACGGAGCAATCTCCTTCGCTCGGGCCTGTGCAGCTGTGCAGCGTGGCCCTTTCCTCTCGTCCCTCTCGTGTGCTTACCTGTGACGCCGCATGCCGGCCCACCTCTCTTGAACGTGTATAGCGTCCGCAAACGCGTTTGTGTTGCATTGAACCATGATCCGTGTAAAATGTGAAATCTATGGCGAAAAACGTATGGAAACTGGAGAGAACACAGAGAAAGATAGGCAGCACGCGCGCTCTCACACTCTCGTGCGCGGTGCAGTCAAAAGAGCGCCAAGAGATTGGAGCGGACGGGGACGAGGACGCACGCCGCGGCTCGAGCATGCTTGCAGTTGCACACCCCTGCATCAGAGTGCCGCCGGGCCGATGACCAAGCGCGGCTGCGCATGATGCGCCAGCCGGCCGCTCAAGCCTCTCAGCCGCGGGGGTCGCTCAGAGGACCAGGCTGTCCTCAGGCGTCGGCCCGCGGGTCGTCGCCACCCTCATCGGGCGCTCCCTGCTGCTGCATCGGCGCGCGCTTCTTGTCCTTCTTGTGGGTGCCCGACACGATCTCGTCGATGCGGAGGAGCATCGCCGCCGTCTCGACCGCCGTCTTGATGGTCTGTGCCTGAGGGAGGGGCGAGGGCGGGCAGGGTGGGAGAGGGAGAGGGCGGGAGGCTGGGGAGCGTCGGGGGCGAGGGAGTGGGTGAGAGGGCGGGAGGTGAGCGGGCCAGGGGTCGGTGGGTGGCAGGAGCGAGTGTGACGGGGCCATGGAGCGAGAGACACGGGGAAAAGAGGGGGGGGGGGGGGTCAACATTATATTGTTAACACGTCACATTCCGCTTCCCCGTTCACTGTACTCACTTACACTTTTTTCTCTATCTGCTTCTATCTGACATGCTTTACGATCATTACCGATATTTCCTGTCAAAAGTCCTGGAATATACTATCTACTTAACTCAATACATCCACTGATTTACTCTTCTTCTCCTTTCGCTTCCCCCCCCCT